AATGGATACCAGCTTTCGCTCCCCAGTGTCTCCCGAATCCACCTGCTTCTCTTCTCCAATGTCACCATCATGTATTGCCTGGATTGGTGTAATTGCCTATGTTTGCTCTCCTGCACCTGCTCAGGAGACCTATAAGCATCGTTACCCACAATGTGACCAGAAGAGTGTTTTTAATAGACAAATATGGCTGTCTTGTCTTTCTAAATTTTCTCTGTAGATTCTCATTGTTTGGGGGAATAAGACCAAAGTCCTTACCTAGCCAGACCCTGTGTGATCTTGTTTTGTTCTGGCTCTGGGATCTTGTTTTGTTCTTCCTTCTTCCCTATCAATTTTGCTCCATCTATGTGGGGCATTTAAATTTTTTTTTTAAGTTGCCATGCTTACTCCTACCTCAAGAGCTTTGCATATGCCGTTCCTTTGACTGTCATGCTCACTCCCTTCTCCTTTCTTTTTACTTTCCCCCCCATAGTTAATGCTACTCATGTATAGACCTCAGCTGCCACATCCCTTCCACAGACCCTCTTTTGCGCTTTCCTAGCTCCCTCTATTTCTTCCATTCAACTCACCATGAGTTATCATTATATGAATGTGTGATCATTTGATGAATGTCTGTTTCCCTTTTAGGTTCTCAGAGAACCATGGGCCATCTATGTTTTGCCCACTCGTGTGTTCCCTAATGATTAGCACAGTACCCAGTCCTCAAAGATACCCAATAAATATATACTGAATGAGCCAAAGCCTAGCTCAACTTGACCTTTTTCTGTAAAGCCAGAAATGTTCTCTCCTTCCTTTGAAACCCTATGGCTCTTGAGATCACCACCACTCACACAAATGACATTAAGGGCACACTGTATAGTAGCGTGGCTAACTGTACATTCTTATCTCCCCAGATAGACTGTGAGTACCCATGGGCCAGGGATCACAGTTTCCATGCAACTGTAACTCTCATAATGCCTCGCTCAATTTCCAGCACTTAACATGTGCACAGTTAACAATTTATTCAAAGAATTAATAAAGATGTTGGCTCTTCTCTTTCTGTCTGTAGCAGCATTGGTGGTGATGGGAGGAAGTTATAATTCCCTGATGTTTGGAAATGCAACAGAGGCTGCATTTTATAGGTTAGAGCTAGGGAAAGATATTAGGATGTTGTCCTTTTATTGCAAGAACATCCTCTGCCAATTTGCTTGGCAAAGCAAAGCCTATTCTGTAAACAAAGCAACTGGTTCTAATTTTATGCAAAAAAAGGAAATGTAATCCAAAAGCTGCATATTCACACAAAAATGTGTTTTTATTGACTCATTTGAGTTATAGTTTATTATATTTTTTGCTAGTGATCAGAGATATTCCAGTCATAACTGTGAGGGTTTCACTCATCTCCATAGTAGAAGATGTGGCGGCAGTCCTGTTGGAAATGTGGAATTCACGGGCCAGAACCAAGGGTGTGGACAAACACCAGACCGTCCAGCTCTGTTTCTGGGACACGCTGGGCAGGGCCTACTTGCAGGAAGTGCAGAGGTTTCTGGGCCAGGTCAAGCATTTCCCCTGAGGCATGATTTTCTGAGAAAGTGCTGTGTCAAAGAAGAAAGATGCAAACACAGTCAGGATACCAAGGCAGAAGATACTGGGCTATGAGTAAAGCAAGAAACTGTAGATGGGAGTGCGGTCTGGCCTGGTGGAATGAAGAGAGAAGGGTATGAGGAACCAGGTACAGCCAGGGGGAGGCCCTTGAATTGCGGACATCCAGTAGACACGGCTTTCATACAGTCACATTGCGAGAGGGATGGGTAGTCCTGCAAGGGTTCCAGGACAGACCAAGAAGGGGGACTTCTGACACATCCCTGCTTGTGAGGTGGGGTTATATACTCCGAAGTTCTTCAAAGATAGTAAAAACTACCAAGGACTGTAAGAAAGGATGAAGTTTCACGTGGGAAGGTATGTGTCTGGCTGCATACTCCAAAGCCTGCAATTCTGAATAACTATGAAGAAACTGTGTCAGAGCTTCTGCAAGAACAGGAATGTGCAATGGAAAGGGAGGTAGGGGAAACGGTCATGTTAGACGTTTCCCTCTTCCTCATAAAACCTCTGCGCTCCCCTTCTATCTTGCTCTGTTTGCCCTCTGGTGGTCTTCTACCTGCATTCAACCTCCTCCTGGGACCTTCACAATGGTGCTGGCTTTTGACTTGGCTTCTACGCCCTGTCTCTTCACTCACTCTAAGCCCCATGCTCCATGTCCTGGAGCTGGACCCTCCCCTCCCCCAAGCTCAGACCAAACCAACTCATATCTAGATAAGGAGTGTGCACATTAAGAGCCCACTTGCTAGTGATATTGAACTGGATGCTACTCAAAGTGAGTTAGTCAGACACATTCACACCCTTGGGGGGTGCATAAGTTAAAACAAAAAAAGACAGACATAGAAAAGACATAACTAGCTACATACCAGAGGAAAAGGCAATGAAAATATATACATTTAGAAAATTATAGGGTTATCGTCATTGAGGGCACTCCTTTACACACACTGCCTTATCCACGCGAAGTCTCAGACTGTGCCTCTATATGGATGACTCCTAAATTTCTGTTTCCAAGTTGCTCAGTGTTCAATTAGAAATCTGTAATTATTTTTGGTACATCTCTGCTTAAATATCTCACTCTGTAAGATGGGAATTTCTCAAACTGAACTCATGACTCTCCTACCTCTCCCACATTTCCCGGTTTTTCCTACTCAGCTGGTTTCTCTGCACTGGTACCCACCATGGACATTAGTTTATGTTTTATAGATTATAACATCTGTCCTCACATGTGAGCTCATGAATTCTCCCAGTTGCCTAGGTTTGGAGTGTGTAGCATCACTGTCAACTCCTGTTTCTCTTTCATCCCTTCCATCAAATTTTCTATCTGTGTCCTTGATTTGATCTACATATACCGTGGTTGTTGTTACTTTTTTTTTTTTTTTCACTTGAAAAAATAGAATGATCTCATTTATTTACATAGCCCAAGAGTTTTAGAAATGGAAATATCTACTATGAAACTTAGGCAGTGATGCAAATTTGAAACTGGCCCCAGTGAAATGCAAGGATTACTAACATAATTGGGACATAAATGGGTTAATGCCATCCCATTTATTAATTTGATGTATATACAACATCCACATAATAAAATACCATTTGATTTTTTAAATAAAAAATATTGTTTTAGTAGATTCTTGTAGAAGTCAAATTGCACCTCTTATAGGTTTACCCCCATAACAGTAGGTATATCCACACTAGATTTACTCCCTGAACTGCTCCCCCACCCCACCTTACTCCACCCCACCCTTTGCTGTTGTTGTAGTGGGATATTTAGCTCCTAAAGCCCTTCTAAATGGCACTGAGAAGTCATGTTACATTCAATATTTACATTTTAAATCAGAGAGCTAACTAGAAGCAGAGAAGGAATAAAGGCAATAGATCTCAGAATAAAGGAAGGAAGAACCTCAGGCAACCAGAATTTTGAGGAAAAAGGCAACCCAGGGGACTAGAGAGAGATTATTTCACAAGCAATTACCCGTTGAGGGAGATGGCTGGAGCTGAAAAGGGGTCAGAGTAGTGAAGTGTCGTGAAGACAGTGGCTGCTCCACAGACATGTCAGCTATTTTGGGAGGGTATCTGGGTATCTTTCCACCTCCCCGAACCCCGGGGTCAGCACTGCCAGCCAGTGGACACTTGAGTGTCAGCTGCACTAAGCAGGTTAATTCATTCAAGGAGTCTCGTGCTAAAGGCAGCTAAAAGAATGTTTCAAGTATTTACTTAACCTGGAAACTCTGCTCAGTGTAAAGCCTGCCTGACAAGAGGAGAGCTGAGGTTCAAAATTACTGATAACAACTTCTAACAATAGACATTTATAATACTCTTGCTTGAAAAGCTTGTACTCTTAATGTGTCCTAACATGAATATTGCGTTTATTACCATACAAATTGTATAACAAATGATACACTTATCCATATATTTTAGTAGCAAGTCTGAGTCCACGAGAAATGCTGGGACTTTTGATTTTTGCTAATCTAACCTTTTTACATATTTGGACAGAATTTATTCAGGTACCAGATTTTCTCCTATTTACCATAAGCTCACTTCCTCCTTTCTTTAAATTTTGGAAAACTCCCTAAAAGTCCATTTGGTTGTTCTTGATCACTTTAAAATTGGTGAAAATGTTTCTCCCCCTTTTTTTTTGTCAGGAAAAAAAGCAGATTCATTTTTATACTCATAACTAAAAATGGTTTTGTTTTTTAATAACTAACTTTGACATGTACTAAATTTGGTTGTAGATAAGACTTAACAGACTTGAGTATCTATATTTGTGAATGTTTAAAAATTTTCTTTCTGTACAGAACCAACTCGGTCTGCTGCTTTTATTTAAATTTGATACTGTCCTTTTGCCTGTGTTCATTGTAAACATGACTCAGGCAGCGATAACTTGCTTTTGTAAACAACAAACTTTGAAAAGTATGTGATCTGCGTCAATATGACTTTTTTAAATAATTAGGTCCTAGGAATGACTCTGGGGTCCTTTCTGATATGAATTTATGAAACTAAGCTATGCAGCTTCACAATACTTTTAGCTGGTGGAGAAGAAAGGAAAGGACCACCTAAATAAAACGTTTAAATGATTGAATGCTTCATTCTTAAGAGATAATCAGTTTTATCACTTAATAAATCTACAGAAGCTCGAACTGGTGACCACCACAATGTTGTCAAATATAGGATAGTGGATGAGCTCTGATGGCATTAGCTGAGTACTTGATTTCACCCCAGCATGGTTGAAGGTGAGTGGAGGTTTAGGGACATATGCATTCCCTGAGGGACTTGCTCTCTGCCTGTTTCCTGCTGCCTGACCTTGGTTGGTAACTTACAGTTACCTGGCGACCAGATCAGGTTTCCAGTGGGAGGAGCTTCCTTCTGCAAATCCAGGCTGCTAGGCTGCACTCAAGGCACAGCCCAGGCTCCGGGAAGACCAGAGCCTCTATAGAAGAGAAACCCAGGAGTGAGGGCGCCCAGGTGTCCAGGAGAGACCGTACTGACCTTGGACACAAGAGTACCACCTCTGATGGAGGTGCCACAACGTCACTAGAAAACTAATTTCAATCACAAACATTTTATGGAGCAAATTCTGCGTGGTTGCAAATGTAACCATTAGCTCTACTCCACCCCAGACCACTAGTCCTATATCTTCAGATTGTGTCTATCTTTTTAAAACTAAACTCTTCACAGTGAACTTGTAGCCTATTATAAAATTCCCATAGTTTTTTAAAAAAATTGTTTTTAATCAAAGTGCACCTTAGGTTAATTCTCCCATGGCCTGCCTTAGTTTACTTTAAGATAAGGTATGTATTGGTGCTATTGTATTTTATGTTTTGGATTTTTAAGCTGTCAATCTCAGCTATCAAGATAAAACTAGAAGGAAACCTACATGTATTAAAGCTCTCTCCTGGGTCTTTCACTTACGTTGTGCAGTTTAATCTTCACAAAGCCTCTCTCGGGTATTCTCATTTTACGGAGGCTCAGAGAAGGAAACAGAAGCTCACAGCAGCTCCTGCAGGTGGTGAGTGGACGCCTGTGTGGCACCCTCCAACATGCCAGCAGTCCCTTCTGACATGGGGTCAGTTGTAAACCTGACAAACTGGTCTTCTGAGTTTCCCTTTGGAGACTGACAAAACTCTTCAGGACTAAGCACCCTTCACAGGCTGTGTACCCTCCTCCCCACCCAGAGGCCTCGCTCTACAGGCTCATGCAGGGCCAACCCACTCAGCTGGTTTTATTAACCGTGGAGCCTGCTTCCCGCCCGTGGAGCCCATGTATTACCTTTTGGCCAAGAGGAGACCATGAGAGGTTTTGTTAAATGTGTTGCAAATCATGATACAACAGTTCACAGCCTTCCCCTATTTTTTAAAAAATATTTTTTGTTGATTTCAAAGAGGAAGAGAGAGAGAGAGAGAGAGAGAGAGAGAGAGAGAGAGAGAGAGAGAGAGAGAGAGAGGAACATCTATGATGAAAGAGAATCACTGATCCACTGCCTCCTGCATGCACCCTGTCCTCCCACTGGGGATTGAGCTGAAACCCAGGCATATGCCCTGACAGAGAAAAAATATTTTCAAAAATATATTTAAAAAAATATTTAAAGGTAACAAGTTAGTTGATTGTATCTGTCACTGGTTCCTTGCCTCAGTTCCTTGTCTCTGTCATTTGTCTATTTTTGCTGGGTATCAAAATTCATCTACATTGTCTGCACGACATTTCTCTTCCTTTGTTGCATTTAGGCACATTTGGCTGCTACCTGTTTTAGGTTTGTAGATGATGGCTGAAAATGGCTCCGATTACATTCTTATGGTACCATGTACTGTTCTTCACGTTGCTTTGAAGTTAAGGTGACAACGTTTTTATATTAAATGTATCTCTGCTATTCCTGGTTCCAACACAAAGACATCTTTCTCTTGTAAGGCTATTTTAATGCCCAATTTTTACTGGCTTCAATGTTATCTATAAACAGAATCAAGGTACTTTCCTCCTAACTGTTTGTCTTTGGAGTGATTCAGAACCGAAACAAGTGTTAATTGTACCTCTGAGAGCTATGGTTTTGCCTGGGTCTTCCACAAGACCCTAGAAGTTAAGACAAGTTTGAGTTCAAGGGCAGACATACAGTTCTAATATTTAATCTAAAGTGCGTCTGGGTGATTTTTCTTCAAGCTTTCTTGTCATATGAGTGCATATAAAAAGCAAGTGAAATGAAACAGCAAAGGGCTGCTGTTTTGAATTTCAGAATTCTGAGGGTTAAGTGAGTCTGCAGACTGCTAGACCAGGATGCCCAGTGTGGGGTTGCCACCGAGGGACCTGCCGGCCCAGCTGGATTCACTTACGGCACCATCACCACTTATCTGCTTCCTCACTTCAGCACCACTCTTTCCCACATTCCTGCTGGTACTTAGCTCAACCTAATGGACAGATGGGATTCCCAGATGATACTGCATCATAAATCTAACCTACCTACCATACATTAGTGTCTGCCGTGAGCATGGCCCTACAATGTGCTCATTCTAGCATCTTACATTTTGAAACAAAGCAGGTGCCCTTGCTGGGAATTTTAACAACTCCAGAACAAATCCCCACAGTGGTTTTTGTTATGTCCAGGAATGGATTGCAGTAACCCTGCTGAGCTAACAGAGCTCATCCTTGGCAGAACAAGTGAGTGACTTGTCTATAGATGTGAAGTTTTCTTCCCTTATGTCATCTGTCACAGTTGCCATGAAGCCTTGACTGGGACAGGAGAACAGATGTGCTGCACTGAATGGGATATCAATTGCCCAATCATAGGAAAGCTCTTCTTAGAGTCAGATGTCTGTTCACTCAGTGTAGTGAGCCCCTAAAATGAGCAAAGCTCTTCTCTAGGCTCAGTAGAGAACATTCTAAATATACACAATGGGTGCCCTGTCTGGTGTGGCTTCTTTGGGTGTCATCCTGTGTACCGAGAAGTTGTAGACTATTCCTGCTCATGGCACATGCCCAGATTGGAGGATTGATCCCTGTGGGGCCAGGGGGCAGAAGGCAGCCAATGGATGTTTTTCTCTCCCCCTCTCCTTGCTCTTTCTCTAAAAAAAATCAATTTAAAAATATTTAAATATACATAATGGTGTCAAAGAGCATCTGATGGTATAGGGAGTTGGGTATCATGCTTTATGTTGAGCAGAGCAGTGTGCTATTTGTGTCTTCCTCCTTTTCCTATGGCACTGTCTCTCCTCAGTCTTCAGCTCTTGGGCTAGGTATCATTTCCCTGAGAAGCCTGTCCTGAGCACTTTATCTGAAGTAGCCACCTCCCTCTATCACAGCACCTTGTTTATTTACTTCATGGCACAGATCACAATTTGTAGTTAGATGTTTGTTTGCCTGCATTTGTATTTTCTGTCTTATACACTTGTGTTTAATCTCACAAGGTCCTCTGGCTTTTTTCTTTCTACTGCATTCCCAATGCATAGCACACAGTGCCTAAATGGTACTTACTAAGTTCTTGGTAAATATTGAATTAATAAGTGAATCAACTATTAAGTGCTAGCACTACTTAAACTCAATGGTGAGAGCCCTTATTTTTTTGTTTTCAATGTGTTTGTCATAAAGTGGCATCTATTTTACTAGGGGCCCAGTGCACAAATTTGTATAATTTGATGAATTGATTTTTTACAGAGAGGAAGAAAGAGGGATAGAGAGCTACAAACGGCGATGAGAGAGAAACATTGACCAGCTGCCTCCTGCACACCCCTATCGGGGATGTGCCGCAACCAAGGTACATGGCCTTGACCAGAATCGAACCCGGGACCCTTCAGTCCACAGGCCGACGCTCTATCCACTGAGCCAAACCGTATTCTTCTTGATGAATCTTTGATTTTTTTTTATTATTTTTTTTTTACTTTATTTCCCCTTGAAAGGAACTGTGAGCCGTGAGGCTGCAGTAGGCACAGGGGCAGGACTCAGACTATCCCCACACTCCCACCCAGCCCCTTCTGCCACAGCCTCTGGTCCCCTGTCTACCACAGCCCCGCTCCCACAGCCATCACTCCCATGTGCTGATGGTGTCGGCCCTGCTCACACCCGCTGATGGTGTGGAGTGATTGGGGCCGGTGCCAGCAGCGGGTGCAAGCAGTGGCTACTGCCCTAATCGTCCCTCAGAAGCAGGGGGAGGTGGAGAAGCCCTCAGGGGTGATTGGGACTGGCAGAAGCTGCTCACATCCACTGATGGTGCCAAGCTATCGGGACTGGCGCTGGACTCCAGTGCTGGCTGCAGTGTGAGTGGGGTCGGCGCCAGCAGTGCGTGCAAGTGGCAGCTCCAGTGAGGGCAGCGGGTGTGAGCAGGGCTGTCACTGGCAGCGGGTGCGAGAGGCGGCTGCTGGCCCTGATTGCCCCTCAGGAGCAGGGGGAGGTGGAGAAGCCCTGAGAGGCGATTGGGGCTAGTATCCATCACTCACACTCTCTGACAGCACAGAGCGATTTGGTCTAGGGCTGGGCACCAGCAGCAGGTACAAGTAGCGGCTCTGGTGCTGGCAGCAGATGCAAGCACCTAGCAGGACCAAAGAATTTCAGTAACCATCAGAGGCTCGCCCCAATGACAGTAACCAGTGCCCTGCCTTGGTCTGGTGGCCCCACTCACCTGCTCTAACATCCCACTGCGACCAATGCCTGCCACGTTCCGTGCTCTGCTGCCGAATGGTCCACGTGCGCCCCCCCCCCCCCCCCCCCCCCCCCCCCCCCCGTTGTCAGTGCATGTCATAGCGACCAGTTATTCAGTTGCTTGGTTGTTCTGTTGTTTGGTCTATTTGCTGAGAGAGATTATAAAAATTTTGCTGGCCACACTTTTAAACTGGTTTGTGAAAAGTTGCTCAAACCTCAACTCTGTTGGTATTTATTGGATATTTCCTTTCTCTTAAATCCCAATGTGTTTGCTTCTGTTGCAGCTTGTCTGATATTAACAGACTTACCTCTCAGTTGGCAAGATCTCTGGTCTCCAGAGTATGTACTCACACTGAGGGTTTGGAGAAGGTTGGCAGGCAAAATGATCCAAGAGTTTGGGAAGAAAATATGAGAATTTCTGCTTTTAAGCTACAGAAAAGAAAAAAAAAGCTTTATAAATATTAACTATGTTTTGACACTAGTTCATGTATAAATTTATACACTAACATACATACATTGGGGGTACACATTCAAATTTTTTACCAACAGCAATTCTCAAAAAAGTATGGAAGCCACTGCTCTAGAATATTATGTTAGCGTAAGTTTTTGGAAGGCAGAAATTATGGCTAATACTTTTTTGCATACCTTAGTGGGCCTCATATAGCGTTCAAAAGACATAAATCAGTGATTGATAATTATTTGCTTGATTGATAAGGTCAATGATCACAGGTGCTGTTCAATTCAGGACCATTAACTTTTCACTGAAAACCATGAATTCAACTGGTTTTATGTCTGGGGTGTCTGTAGTACATCACAATATCATTTTACAAACACTCATGAGGAAAACAACTCAAAATGGAAGATCCACTGATAGTGTGTCAGTAGGATTATCTTAATATATATGCCATATTTACTATTGATAGAAGCTTTCCCCTCGGAGCTTTATGGATCAGAGCAACTTTGCTGGTCTCCTGGTTGAAGAATAAACCCACTTAAGTTGGCAAAAGTAAAATTGGATGGTCATGGAAACACAGACTATTAGTTACGTAATGGAACCTGACACACTTGGCTCACATACATCTAGTTGTGTGGAACTCATGCCTCTTTTGAATGACTCTACTCCTCCTAACTTGAACTCTGCTCTTCCATAATTTCTGTCCACGGCTCTTGGTGGTTCCCAAACCCAAACAAGCCCACAAGACTGCTTCCCAGGGGCTAAAGGAGACTTCTTGGTTATCTGATAGGTTTTCCTGCTGCTGGTGAGACATCCTTGGGATTTTCAAGCTCTTTTTTTTATATGCCTTGGTCTTTAGTCACATCACATCCTGTTAAGCAACTTGAAATAAAGTTCAGTTTGTCAATATCCTCTGGAATACAGTGCCTAGAACT